AAAAAAAAAAAAAAAGAGGGAAAATCGGAATAAATCCACAGGATTCCCGCACGGCGAGGATGGATCTGAGCCTCCCACACCACCTTTTGCTGGAATTATGAAAAAACCTCGGGTTTTGGTCAGTTTTAATCCTGGAAATTCCTGTTTTTCTGAAGATGCTCCAGCTGGTGAAGCGAAGCTTTGGGAAGGAGGTCACGGAGAGGGATTTTTCCACAGGAATCTCCTCAGCTTTCCTGGGCATTCCCAGAACCTCCCTCATTTTCTAAGAGGGACTAAAAAAAGGTGGATGATCCAGCAGAAGAGGGTGCCTGCTCAGAATTCCCAGATTTTTCCAGCCTCCCTCCTTTTCCAAAGAGGGAAAAATCCTCTTTGGAGTTAAAACCTTTATTCCTTCCAATYGCAAAATTCCCATTTTTTTTYCCTTAATTTTCACCACCTTCAGCCTTTGCCAGGATTAACTATTCCCACCCCAGCCAGGATTGCTGTGCCACAATCAGGGAAAGCTCTTTTTGAGGAGCTCCTGAGGAAAATTCCTGCAGGAATTTTGGGTGGGAAAGGACCATAAATCCTTTTTTCCAATTCCACCTGGGACAAATCCCACTTTCCCAGTTGCTCCAACCCCGTTCCAACCTGGCTGGAATTTTGCTCCAAGACCACAGGATGAGGTTTTTTTTCCCTCCCTTTGGATGTGCTGCAAAAGGGATGGAAAATTCCTGCAGATGAAGGGATGAACCAGGATGGGAGTGAGGAAAATCAGGATTTTCCTGATTCCTTTTAATCCCAAATTTCCTCATGGCTCAGTTGGGAGCTGGGGTGAATTTCTTCGGATTTTTCCAGCTGTTTTTCCAGCCTGGATCCCCTTCAGGATTCCCATTTCCTGGAGCTGAATGGGATTCCAGGGAAATTGTGTAATCCAGGTAAATATTTAACAAGGAAAAAGGAGGATGGGAAAACCCCAGGGAAGCTGGGAAATTCGGGATTAAACACACCCTGAGGAGCCCAAATTTGGGAAAAACATCCCATTCCTCACCCTGAAACCCAGGAAATTTGGGAAATTTGGGGGATGAGGTGTAAAATCCCTGATTTTCCCCAGGATTATCTGGAGTCTGTCCTTGAAAAGTTTGGGAGATGTTCCATCTTAAACCTTAGTGTGGATGAGGGATTTGATGATTATTTTTGGGATTGGGAATATTCCTCATCTCTGGAAGCATCCAAGTTCRGGATAATGGAATTGGGTGACATTTAAGGTCCCTCCCCACCCGAATTTCAGGATTTCCTTCAGGAATTGTGGATTTATCTCCRGGCTGCTGCTCTCGGAGCCGTTCCATCCCAGGGGATCATAGATTTTCATGGATGTCTGGAGGGTGGAATGAGCTGGAAAGGGCAGGAAAAGGGGTGGAATTCTGCCTGGCATTTCCCTGGGAGCACCGGGAGGGGAAGGGGAGAGCCCCAGGAAAAGCTGGATTTGGAGAAAGCTGGGGAAAAGTGGAAAAATCTGAGGAAAAAGTGGAAAAATCCAGGAAAAAGTGTAAAATCTGGAAAAAAATCCAGGAAAAAGTGGGAAAATCTGGAAAAAAAGTAGGAAAATCCAGAAGAAATCTGGGRAAAAGTGGAAAAATCTGAAAGAAAGTGGAAAATCTGGGAAAAAGCAGAAAAATCCAGAACAAAGTGGGAAATTTGGGAAAAATCTGGGAAAAAGTGGAAAATTCAGGAGAAAGTGGAAAATCYTGGAAAAATCCTGGAAAAAGTGGAAAAATCTGGGAAAAAGTGGAAAAATCTGGGAAAAATTGGGAAAAAGTGGAAAATTCAGGAGGAAATGGAAAAATCCAGGAAAAATTGGTGAAAAAGTGGAAAAATCTGGGAAAAAG